GTGCTAAACTGTCAATGATCACCTCCATTCACTGTATATATCCCCTTTTCTCTCCTTTAAAAGGGTGTGTGTTTATTCTGCTCTTTTGTTTGTTGGTTGTTTTATTTGTTTCGTTGCCCATTTTTTTCCTCCAGAACTCACCACTTTCAAATAGTTTTTTAGCAGTCATCAAAAAGTGATAGTCTGGCTAGCACAAAAGTTAACAAGATTAATGTCTTTATCTTTAGGGTAGTGTGTATTTGATTTTTTTACTCTTGTTTAACACAAAACAGCTAAGCTTCTCTTTTGCTTTTATTACTCATGAGAAGAAAACATTTGAAACATCTCTTTTGGCAACTTCCAGACTTTTTTCCTGAAGATAGTCAATAATATATATCTATGAACTAATAAAGATATACCCTTAAACCAATATTTGTTTAGAGTCTAAACTATATTATTACTATTATTATTATTATTATTATTATTATTATTTTATTATCAGATTCAAACATTTCCAGGCATCTCTCATGACCTAGCAGGATGGATCTGTCAAAAATATAACCTAAATGTACCTAAAAGTCCTCAAAAGAAAGACATTGATGATGGCTATTAGCCATCCCCCAAGATCAAGACCTAAGCTTTCTGAGAAAAAGCCACCTATGAACAGTCCTAATGCTTCTGTCAGAGAGGGAAGAACATCTTTAGACTTAATGGATAAAGAGAGTTGAAGAAACAAATCTGTTGCAATGGTCAGGTTAGAAAGGAGGGGGAAAGTGGCTGAATGCAGGACACTGAGAAAATTGAATCTGGGGGAAAAAAGTGCACCACAGATGAGACAGAGGCAAAGGTAGAGGAAGTCCATATGAGCTATGGGACCACTAGAAAGGCATGGAGCAGAATGAGTGACCTCAGGAGGAACAGCCTTGGCCAGGACACAGAGACAGACTAGATGTGAACAGAAAGACTTGGAAGTTTGTGAGCCTGATGGTTACTCTTTCTCACAAGATATTTGAGTCTTGGAGCTTAGTAATTTTCCTAATAGGGTCCAAGACAAAAAAATTTCCATTTTGTTAGTATTCATGTAAATCGATTGTCATAGTCCAGGATGATATCACCTGGGATGTTTTAAATAAATTAAAACTTTTTTCTTCATTTCACTATTCATGGATTATAATAAATTTTCCTGTCCCACGTGTGGGGCCCCAGCTTTAAAGGAGCAGTGTTACTCTGGAGGGAGATGAAGAAATCAATCTTTCCTGTACCATACTCTACGATAAAACAGGAAATATACTTTTCTCCAAATTTTATCATGTGTTACTCCTCTGCAATTATCCACTGCATAATTCAAGACAAGAAACTGGAATTATTTCATTTTTATTAGTGATAACATTATGAATATTCGGACATTACTGAACTTCTATTGAAATGTAAGAATTATATAACTGTCTGGTTGAAATCCCTTATTCTCTTGAACATTATAACTCAAATTTAGTCGACCTTTTTTGGCGAAACACTATTTGGTCTTCTCTAGAACTCCATCTTTATTTTTAACTAGGACATACAATATATTCACACCTACAAAAATTTCTGTGATGCTCTGTACCTGAAGTATCACATGAGCACTAGCCCAGGATGATTTTTTAAGCCTTCAACATTAGTGTATTTGGAATGTAAATCAGAACTTACTAATTTATTAATTCTATCCCCGCAAACATCAAGAAAAGGATTTTCAAACACATTGTTAAGCATGCTGCTTGAGCCTTCTTTCTGTTTGTATATATAGAAGTTTTAATATGTCTATATTCAAAGTCTGTCCATCTTCATTTATGGTTTCTGTCTTTGATGTCTTGTTAGACAAAGTTATAAAATTATTCACCAATCTATTTTCCTTCAGTATGTCTCATTATTTTTTCTTCTTTAATTAATCTGATATTTATTTGTATGAATAAAAGATCCAACTTTACAATTTTTTCTAACATAAACCAATTATTGGAATTGCATTCACATACTTGTACTTTCCTCACAAACATAAAATGCTGTCTTTGTTATACATTACCTTTACATGCTTGAATGTGTTTTGGAAATTTTCAAGCTGATTTGGCTCCTCTAAGTCTCTACTATATTGTCTTAGTAATTGTAACTTTATAATATTTTTTAACACTTGGAATTAGAAATTCCTTCTAAATTATTCTCCTTTTCAAAATTTTGCTATTCCCAAGCTGTCTATTCTTCTAGATGAATTTTAATAATCATTCCACCAATCTTTCCATAAAAAAATCTCTATGGTTTTAAATGGAATTGCATCAACTTTATAAATTAATTTGTGGAAGCTGAACTCATTATAATATTTACTATTCTCATCCAGGACTATAATATAAATCTCATTACTGCTCATTTTATTTTGTTTCTCAATACAATGTTTTATTTTAAACATGCATTTTTTATATAGTTTATTCATCAGATATATGATATTTCATTGCTATGATAAATGAGATTTTTCATGATGTTTTCAATTTGTAGCTATTATGAAAAGTCAATTCATTTATACACATTTATTTTTTGCATGGTCACTTAAGTGAAGTCTTTTATTCTAATAGTTATTCAGTTGATTCTCGGGATTTTTAGTAAAAAATACATTTTTAAAGGAAAAAAGATGTCACCTCTTTTCTAATAATTGTAACTTTTGATAGGCAGTATACCATACTATTTAAAATTAAAGACTTATGAATTAAGCCACTAGAGTTTTAAATCAGTGCTGCCATTTATTAACTATGTGACCTTGGCCAAGTTATTTAGCTTCTCCGGGCCTCGGCTTTCTAATTTGTAAAATGAAAATGATAGTAGTCCATATCTCCTAGGATTGTTGTAAAGATTAAATGAGTACACATTTGTAAAGTATTTAAAAGAGTTCGTAGCACATATAATAGGGATTTTTAAAATGTTAATCCTTTTAAAATTTCTTCCATTGACTGTAATTCAGAGAATGATATAAACTAGAGATGATAAAGTTGGGCATATAGTAAGCCTCTTACATTTTTCTATTTATTTTGAAATTGATTTTTCAGAATTTAATAACATCTCTCTATTCCTAAATTACTATGTTGTGTGTATGTGTGTTTTCTTAAAAGTAATATAGTTGTACTTTATCAAATGTCATTTGGAATCTATTATAAAATAAAAAATAGGGGTTTTATTCTTTAGTTTATTACTATAAAATTATTTTAATATATTTCCCAATATTGAATCACTTGTACACTCCTGGAATAAACAGCATTTGTTGTATTATTGTATTTTGTTGATTTCTACATTCCTATCCAGCATTTCAATGAATTTTTGTGATTTTCTTTTTTGTTACTTTTATTCATTTTTTCTTTTTCTAAGTATTATGCTTCTTATTAAATGAATTAGAAAAAATATTTTATCTCTTTCATAGAGTTTATAGAGTATGGGATAATTTGTTTCTTAAAAATACATATTTTCAACCACTGATTATAAATACTTATTGAAAACAAGATACTTTGCTCATCTAAACAGAGTATTTTAGCTCCTGCCAAATTTTTCTATCCAAGCTGGTCAAGGACATAGGCTTAACCATCAGATAAATTAGGCTCAAATCCTAACTTCACCACCCACTAGCTAAATATGTACAGTTGGCAAGGTGCACTTTTATCACAGGGAATAAACATACCTTTCTTACATTCCTTACAAAGAGTTATTATGAAGATTTACATGAAGTCATGTTTATAAAGCCACTATACATTCCACTTGCAATAAAGATTCAATAAATTATTTTATGGGTTAGTTTTAATTTTTTAAAAGACAAAATTAAGTTTACAATTTTACTTGCTTTTTTTCTTAGTATGGAAATTTTAGTTGTTTGTGTAGAAATATGTTTTTACTAATATTATTTGTGCAAAATTACTTCATAAAAGGTAAATTTCAATTAAGACATGTTATTCCCTGCTAACATAAATTTAAAAGTTGACATAAAAGTAAAAATGCTCTGTTAACACATTAAATGAACCCATAGTCACTGTCCAAACGAAATCAGAGAGTTTATAAGAAAGCCGTACTGGTTTTTGGAAAACCGAGCAA